CCCTGTGGGACGATCCTGTCCATTCCCGTCCGACATCGTTTCTTCAGCGAGGGAAACCGTGTGGAAATGCAGAGGCCGCGCGTCAACATTCAAAGACGGTTGGCATGACAAAAGCCCAAATAGAAGAATCTCTTCGAAAAGTTGGGTCGGCGCCACTTGGTTTTTCCCTAAAAGTAAGGTTGACATTGCCCAGGCAGAGTTAGACACCATGAAAGCAAACGCTTCGGAGCAGTTGAGAAGATCACCTGGGGCTGCAGCAGTGGCGTCAATCCTTCAAGACATCGAGACAATGCATCCAACTTGCAAGGCCATGATTGCAGAAGCCAGTGAGGCTGCCAAGCAAGTGCCGCAGGGATTGCCGTATCGCAACCATCTCCTCCGGCAAGTTGGTAGCGAAACAATGTTCGAATTCTGCTGCGATGAGAATTCTACTTTGGGCCAAGTCAACGAAGAATTCGGAATCAACCACTTTCGTCTCACTGAAAAGAACTCAAACGTTGAAGATCATTGAAAAAGCTTGTTCAGCTGTTTCCTGGATGTGACTTGTGGGGCTCAATCCCATGCAGCCCTTGGAGCAACTGGCAAACAATGAACAAGCACAAGTTGGGAGAAAGGTTCAAGGCCAAACTGAAAAGGCAAAGGGCCCGTTCCAGAAGGATACTTAGGAACTTTATAGCTGTCGCTGAGGTAGTGTTGAGTCAAGGGGGCCATGTTGCCTTCGAATGGCCAAAGAATGCAGCTGGTTGGGCGTTGCCAGAGTTGATCGCTTTCATCAAGCGACACAACTTGTATGAAGCAAGAACCGATGGCTGCGCGCATGGCTTGTGCGACAAGAATGGCATTCCCCACCTTAAACCCTGGCGCATCATTCCGTCGTGTTGGGAACTAGCTCAAAATCTGGATGCAAAAAGGTGCCAGCATGCATCAGGCTTCCAACATAGTAGGGTAGAAGGTGGAAAAACCAGCAGCACAGCCTTCTATCCAAAGCCAATGATCAGCAGCTTGTATTCCAAGGTTGCAGCAGAGATTGCAGCGATGCCTGTCAGGCCTTTCGTTCCTGAACCTCACTCACCGCGTGTTCAGTCTGATTCCATCTTTGCCGGGATTCACCGCCTGATTGATGGCAAGGATTGGCACAAGCATGCAGGAGCTCAGGAGTGCATAGACGGCGAAGCTCGAGGGTTAATTGCAAATGGCACTTGGAATTACGCTGAAATGGTTTCAAGAAAGGACCTCATGGCAAGAAAAGAACCCATTAATGTGGGCCGTTTAATGACAATCCTGAGCATCAAGCATTACGAAATCCCAGAGCTCAGAAACCTCAAAACCAGAATAGTCTTTAGAGGAGACGACATAAGGGATGAAGCCAATAACCTTGCTATCCTCCAGGAACTCAAGGTTAACCCAACAAGCATAACTGGAATCAACTTCAACTTGGCGTACGGGGCGGCAAAAGGGCACAAAACGACTCAGTCGGATGTTGTCAAGGCTTACACCCAATCAGACCTTAATACCAGAGTCCCGACTTGGGTGGAGCTACCTTGGGAATTAACCCCGCCAGAGTATCGTCATCTGCAAAGGCCCTGCGTTAGGTTGTGGAAATCGTTGTATGGCCACCCAGAGTCCGGCTTTCATTGGGACAAGAGGTTTAAACAGGTGGTAGAAGCGCTTGGAGGAGAGCACTCCTCGCTCTTTCAGTCCTCTTACTTCTTCAAGAAAACCGGCCTCTTACTCACCTTGTACGTAGATGATATTGTGCTAAGCGGTCCCGCATGTGCGCGTGATGCATTCTGGGCTGAAGTCCAATCCCACCTTGAGATAGAACCGCCGTCTCCTGTGGACAGAGTGTTAGGCAGAAAGCACCTGATTGAGAGAAACCAGTTAGGTACAACGATGCGCTATGACATGTCTGACTACTGTGCCAACGCATGCAGACTGTACGAAGATTTGTCAAAGCGTCCTCTCAAACCTGCCAGCACACCTTTTGTTCCAGATGGCTCTATCCTCGCGTCAGATTGGGAAAGCAAAGGAGCTTTGGCCTCAGAAGCGTCCAGAGTGTTAATGAAAACACTTTGGTTAGCAAGACTATCGCGTCCTGACTTAATGAAAGGGATATCTGACTTGACGCGCCGCATAACGCGATGGTCCGTCGCGGACGATAAAAAGTTGCACAGGCTGATGTCATACCTGAAAGGTACCCCAAACCTGTCGGTTGTTCACAAAATGGGAGACGCCTTTGAAGATTTGCGCTTGAGTCTTTACACCGATGCAGATCACTCAGGCGACGTTGACCACGCTCAATCCACCAGCGGCATGATCTTATGCCTAGAGGGAGAAAACACCTACTGGCCTTTGGCTTGGAGCAGCAAAAAGCAAACAGCCACATCCAGGAGCACCACAGAGGCAGAAATCATCTCGCTAAGTTCTGGTATTTGGCGAAGCCTTGCCAGCTCAAGAGTTCCTGGAAACTCTCACTGGGAAGGAAGCTAAGCTGGTATGCCATCAAGACAATAGTGCTGTCATCCAAATCGTCCATGCCGGGTACTCGCCCAAGTTGCGACACGTCAGCAAGACTCATAGAGTGAACTTGTCTTCGCTCTACGAAGTCTTTGAGTCAGATCCGTTAATCCGGCTTCAGTGCATCAACACTGAACTTCAAGAGGCGGACGTTTTCACCAAAGCACTTCCTCCTGCCAAGTTCCCTGCAGCTTTGAAGCTCCTCCGAATGGAGAGCTGAACGCACATGAACCTGCCATATGCCTGAGGTACAAACACCTCCACCAGTCCAGAAGCCCTGCTGCTCAGCACTGGTGAATCTAATTAGGGGTTAGGCATGCGTGTCGTGCGAAGGGGGAGAAGAAGGTATATGGGCAAATCTGCACTTTAGCTTAGACTAGTTCAGATACCTCCATCTGCTGAATGAGGCCTTGCTGCCCGCAGATGGGGGTGACCCTCAACTTCAACAGGCACACTCCATGCGTGACATGTACAGTGCAGCATGCGCAGTGGACCTGGTAGGAAAACATAGGAAGAAGTTATGTGCAGATAGCTGCTTGAAGTAGCTCAAGTCAAAACGCCGAATAACATATTTGGCTCAAGGATTCTGAGCGTCAAGCCCTGACAAAAAGGTAGGGTTGAGTGCGGTCTTGATTCATTTTCCTTGGTTCATAAGTACCATGAACCTCCAAGTAGACCCTACACCCCTTAACCCTAAACCATGGCATGAAGACAGTTTGCGGATTAGAACCCTAAACCCTAAACCCTAAACCCTCAACCCCAAACCCCAAACCCTAAACCCTAAACCCTAAACCCTAAACCCTAAAAGGGGGGCCTTAAAGACTTAAATCTAAGCCCGACTTGTAAGCATCTTGTGTAGCCGTGGCGGCCAAAACCTTCAACCTTCTCCTGATCTCTTCCCGCCCGAAACATGAGAAACCCAAAGCCCTAAACCCGAAACCCTAAACCCTAAACCCGAAACCCTAAGCATTAAACCCGAAACCCTAAACCCTAAACCCCCAATTCTTGGAGGTGGCCTGGGCGCCCCTGGGTGAGGCCTTCGACGACTACGGCGGGCTGCAGAGCGTCCGCGTGACGTGAAAAGCGCGGGGGCGGGGGTTTAGGGTTCAGGGTTCAGGGTTTAGGTTTAGGGTTTAGGGTTTAGGGCGGTGGTGATGCCGGAGTCCCAAAACCCAAAACCCCAAACCCGAAGGTTTAGGGTTCAGGGTTTCGAGCCGAAGCCCTCAGCCGCAACGCTTTGTTGGCTGCCTTTGTTGGGCTCACAGCTCGGTCTTTTCGAGCTCCGTTCGTGGGCAGTTTTTTTGGGAGGAGGAGGTCGAATCCAGTGGCCCAAATCTTAAAAAGTGGCCATGTGCCGCCCCCCGAAAAGCCCGAAGCATCGAGTCCTTGGCCACCGAAAGACATCTGAGGAGCGCTGTGTGGGCTAGGACAGGATTGTCGGATGCACCCGTGTAGTAAAGGATGATGATTTTCGTGGACTCATCAACCACCCCCGCGCTCCACAAGGACGCTGTCCCAAGCTATCAGGGCAGCCGTAAGGAACTATGGATTGAAGCCCAATCTTCCTTCACAAGCTACAGTTGGAGGGCCTCCTCGTGAGGTGGACGGTGGGGATCTCTCTCTGGTTCTTACATGTTCTTTGAGGCAGTAAGGTCCATTTGTTTTTACCACACAGAAGGCGACTCTTCGGGGTGAGCACAGCAATTCCTTGGCATGTCTTGTGGGTGCCTGGGATGGAAGGTGCCTTCTCGACGAACAGCTCGAGCTAGTAGAGGCTCTGAGTAGCGAACCGAACCATGACTAGGTTGGTTTCTGGGACATGCTTATTTTCTTTATTTGGGCTTATAAGGGGCCCTATATATAAATATTTTTTCCGAGGGTTTAAAGGCCAACCCAGATGATCAAGATATGGAGCTCCATGGCCATAGCTGCCTGGGTGTGCTGGGCAGGGAACTTTGACTGCAGTGCCTCCGTGTATCAGGAGCCATCCTGCTTGCTGCAGCTCGCGCAAGGAGGGTCCAGAGGTCTCCGGGCGTCAGAACCAGATGCTGGTCTTGATTTAGAAGAAGAAAGAACCCCCGCTTTTGAATCCCAGACCCCTGTAGAAGCTCGATAGCGAGTGGCCCCCCCAGGACTGCCCCAGCTCTGACTGGGCGGAGCAGGTGCGCGTTGTCCCGTCGCCAGCCCCGAAGGCGGGGAATCCGAAGCCATCAGCAGGTGCAGCGGGTGACTTCCACCTTCTTGGATGGACCTTGCCAGGCCGCCCAGACGAAGTCCTCATTTACAGCAGATCGGCAAATGGAGCGTGGGAGTTAGACTCGAACATTACGGACATAGCAACCCGGAACGTGACGCTGTCGTTTGGTTGGGCCAGAGACACAGCTTTGAGCAGTGCAAAAGTTGTCGTAGCTTACGATGCAACGTCCCCAGCAGGTCCTGCCGCTCACACCTTCAAGCACAACGGGGTCTCCTGGGTGTTCTTGGGACAGCAACTGTTTCCAGGAACCGATGCCATGTCTCTTGGGGGAAACTTGTTGGTCCTGGCGAACAGTTCAGGCATGTATCAGACATTCCAGATTCAAGGCGCAAGTTGGACGGCAGTGCCCACTGCCGACCTCGTGATACCCACAGCGTTTGTCAGGTTTGCTGTGGACGGTCACACCCTGGCCGTTGTATTAGCGCCGGCATCCTTTTCCAACACACAAGTGCTGTTGTTTCAATGGACGGGTAGCTCGTGGTTCGGGCCAGTGGCAAACATCTCAAGCCCCACCGCTGCTCCGTTCAATGGCGCCGGCCCAGTCGCCGTGGACGGGAACTATGTCGCCGTGTTTTGGGCTTTGGCCGGCACCCCGACCCGCCTCCTCGTCATCTACGAAAGCCAGGATGGCTCGTGGTCTGACCTCACCGAGGTCTTTCGGACGGAGCTAAATAGCTCCCCGGAATTGCTTGCGGTCTCTAGCTCCGGCCGCGCAGCTGCGGAGTGTGTCGCGACATGCGACCGGGTTACCATCTTCGAGGCGAGCCCCAATGGAACTTGGAGCGCCGCACGGACGATCAAGTTTCTCGTGGACGTTTCAGGGGGCTCGATGGCTCGGGCTGCCCTCACGGCCACCTCAGTTGCGGTGGCCGAGATTGCAGTCCCAAGCTTCGGATCCGAGTACTTCCCCGGCGGACGGATCTTCGGATGCAACGCGACGTCCACAACGTCCACAACGTCCACAACATCCACAACGTCCGCACCGCCCACAACGCCCACAACGCCCACAACGCCCACAACGCCCACAACGTCCACGACAACATCGTCAGGGCCTTACGGATACTGGGCATCGATTTGGGATGTTTTTTTCAATTTCCGTTATTGTTTAATATTAGGAGCCCTGCTTATAAATACTTGTGGGGACTGTTGAAATCGAACCCTAAACCCTAAACCCTACACCCTACACCCTAAACCCTAAACCCTAAACGCCAGACACCTAGGATACTATCGACGTTGCCCTTGGGTATGTTGGCGCCGCCGGCGCTTTTCATCTCGTCGGAGGATGTGCAAGCGTCGCTGCAGGCAGTAATATAGGGTTTAGGGTTTAGGGTTTAGGGTTTAGGGGGGGCCTTAGTAGTTAGAACAGGATTTTGGGAGCTATTTATGGGATAATTTTAAAGGGGCCGTAAGGGAATAGTATTAGTAGTTAGAATAGGATTTTGGGGGCTATTTATGGCATAATTCTAAAGTGGCCATAAGGGAATGGTATTAGTAGTTAGAATAGGATTTTGGGGTTGTTACAGGATCATTCTAAAGGGGCCAGAAGGGAATAGTATAGGGGCCTTAGTAGTTAGAATAGGATTTTGGGGTTTCTATGGTATAATTCTAAAGGGGCCAGAAGGGGTAAGGGAAGAACGTTAGTAGTTTTTTCCGACCCCGGACTGGCCCTTGCCTCTGTGAGTACCTTTCGCAATGCCACAAGTGCGTTGCTGTTGCCGCAAGTGCGCTGTCACAAATGGGTGCGTTCAGTGCGTTGCTGGAGTTGGGCCTCTTCGTTTTCGGCCTCAAGCCAGGCAGTGCTGAATATCATCCAAGGGCCCTTCGCACAAGTGTTTATGTAGGGTGCCAGGTTGACTGAGTTGGAATTGGCTTTAGGGTTTCGAGGTGTATGGTCAACAGACCTTCTTTGGGAACTTATGTCAGAGGATCGAAAGGGCCCCGAAACCGAGACACCACACGGGCCCCCCTAAACCCTAAACCCTAGACCCTAGATCCTAAACCCTAAACCCTAAACCCTAAGCGTGCAGCAGAGCCCGAGCGGCCGCTGCCGAGCTAGGCAGAGCCGAGCAGCTCAGCTGCGAGAGGCTTGGCAATCTAGTAATGTCTGCAAGCTGCGCTGGAGGGTTAAGCCTCCAGCTTGGGCCTGGAACTGACGCTTAGCGAGGAAGGCTCTGGCCATACCACCACGTGAGATAGGCTTTCGAGTGTGCCCGGCCAGCACACCTCTCTACGTAGTAAAGCTAATACCCCTAAACCCAGACCATTTGCCAGGGCTGCGGTAACGGGGGGTCCCCCCCCTACCCCCCCAAGGTCGTCGTCCACAGCGTTTGCCGGAGGCCAAAATCGTGCTTTTTGACCCCCTTTTTGGGGACCCCCCTTCTCCTTCTTTCTAACAGGGCATCCCTGCCAGGTGTGAAAGCAGAGCTTCTTTCTTGTATAGTCCAGTAAAACCAGAAGCGCAACAGCTATGCATCCGACCTTGACCGTTAACTGAATGGCTCAAGCGAGCAAAACAACTGTGTGCGCCAGTGCGGGGAAGCTTTGCATTTCCGCACTGGTAGCGGAGCTACGGCTCCTGGGCCTACGGGCCAAGCCCACGCGCTTCTGCGCCTCCGCGTCAGCAGGCCATGGCGGCTTTGCTGGAGTTGCTGCGCTGGCCCAACTTCACTCATGATGATGAGGTTGGCCAGGGCACTGAGGGGAAGTTTGGGATCCCCAGATTCAATGGTGAGCCGACCAGACTCGCCGAGTATGCTTTTAGAGTTCGAGCCAGGATTGCCAAGGAGAAGACGATGAGCAAGGAAGAGAAGGCCAAGCTTGGGCCTCTTGGGCTGCGCCTCGTTGAGGGGATCTCCGGAACGGCTTTGCGCATGGTGCAGACCATGGAGATGACCGTTTTCGAGCAAGAGGACGGCCCCGACAAATTGCTGGAGACCTTCGAGAAGATCCTCAGACCCAAGCGGCTTCAGCAGGCAAGAGAGCTTTATGCTGCTGGTGCCACTTCCCATGGCATTCTCTCCCGGCAACCTGGCGAGCCCGTCTCCACCTTTGTTCTCAGCTCACGTGGTACCGCTGTCTCACGGACTGCAGCAATGAGATGCGCCTTCCGGACATGGCGTTGGCTGAGCAATTGCTTGCTTCCTCGAATATCTCGGCCGACCATCAGCTGCTCATCCGGACGGCGATCAAGGGCGAGATCACCTTTGATGCTGTGGCCGACGAACTGGTGGCTCAACACGGCCGGATCCATGAGAGGGAGCGACGCACGCCAGCGCCGCACAAAGGAATAGGACACAAGGGCTCTGGAACGCGCTCCTGGGCGACCTCCTCGCTACCCGATCCTGGCGGCCCTCTAGCTACATGGCCGAGACTGAGGACACGACGGAGTACAACGAGCACCACGACCTCCCAGAGGAGGAAATGTATGAGGGGTACATCGCCGAGGAGGAGCTGGACTTCGAGGAGGAGCAGATTGGCTATCTCGTCGAGGACGGGGTGGATTTGCTGGACCCTGACACTGCCGAGTATGCAGCCGACCTTATGCAGATCGAGCAAGAAGCGCACTTCGCACGCAAGGGTGCTTCGAAGAAGGGTAGCGGCTTCCGAGGCCCGCCCACGCGGCAATTTGCCGTCACTGGCTCACTCAGCCTGGAAGAGAGAAGGAGGAAGGTGGCGGACCTGAAGGCCCGCACCACTTGCCGCCGCTGCGGACAACGCGGCCATTGGCAAGGAGATCCGCATTGCCCTCAGACCAAAGGCGCTGGCCGATCAGGAAAGGCGCGACCAGGATCCTCGACGACATCCCCGCCTAGCTCTACTACAAGTTCGCTGTCGCATGGCAAGGGCAATGCTGGGAAAACTGGCAAGCCTCGTCCCGTGTACTTTGCCATCCGCGAGGACGAGCCGCACCGGCGCACCGCCAACTTGGCCTATCGGACACCAGGCCTCAACGACTATCGGGCTGTGCCACCGCCGCGTGATCTGCGCGGCAATGGCGTCATTGACCTTGAGACCGACGGCAACGACCACAGCCCAACCGAGTCCTCGTGGAGCTTGGTGCCTGCAGAGTTGCAACCGCGATGGCTTCCGGATGCCACGCCGGCACCTACGGCGAATGACCTCGAGGATGCAATGCTGCAGCAAGCCCTTAGTGCAATGGAAGTGGACACTCCGATTCATGCGATCGGGGGGCCAGCCGCTTCATCTTCTACAAGGATGTCGGCGACGACACCAACGAGAGCATCGCCGACCTCCTCGACCCCGACCATGTCTCAGCAGTCACAGCCCTCGCCGTCGCGAACGGGGTGCCAGCACCTAAAGACCACCACTAAGGGCAGCAATGCGCACTATCGCCAGGTGAAATGTCTCGACTGCGGGGCCTTGCTTGAGCGGACGAAGATCGAGCCGACGACGTCCACTGCATCGACTACCGCCATGCCAAAGCCTGGCTGCGCACATCACCGGGTCTCTTGGCGAGGAACGAATGCTTTCTCTTGGAAGCGCACCTGCTTGGACTGTGGTTTCCAGGAGAGCGGCCCGAGCAGTACGAGACCAGCGCCAGCAGCAGGCGCCCCGGGTCCTGGAAGGACACCGCAGCAGGAGAGCCGAGGTTTGTCATCGTTGGACGAGGAGACCTATCTGACACGAGCAGAGGCGGAGCGTGCCGTGGCAACCTTCCAGGAGGCTGTGCACCAACGGCTTCAACACGTCGGAACCGAGAGCTACATCAAGGGAAGCTCTTTGCGAGAATCCTTGAGGCTGATCCTGCAGATGGTGACCGTCTTCAACGACCCGCTGCCAACAGAGCCACAACCTGTACCGCAACGTGACGCTGAGCTTGGACGATTGGAGACCCTCCGCGATCGTGCCTCTGCTCTGGCCACCGAGGGGAAGTACAAGAACGAGCCCGTCTACCATGCCTACCAGGACATCGGCTACCGCAATTGGGTGCAAGCGAACATCGACGACCGCAGCGGGCGAGGGATGAAGCAACTCAAGCTGCTCTTCATGGAAATCGCCCAGCACGAGACTCACCATGGCCCCCTCTTCAAGGAGCCAGTTCGACGAGCTTTTATGGCCCTTAATGATGTCGACCTGGAAGGGCCCACGGGATCGGAAGGTGCTTTGGTCTGTGTGCTGGACACAGGTTGCAACACTACGTGTCATGGCAGCCGATGGTTGCAGCGCTACCTGGAGCTCACCAAGCAGGAGGCCCCTGATCTTCTACCGGACACTGGTGGGGGATTTCGCGGCATTGGAGGTCTGGTCCAGACCTCTGGGGCCCGCGAGCTGGACTTGTGCCTGGAGCTTGCCAATGGAGGATATGCCAACGGGAGCCTACGGAGCGTGGAGCTAGAGGACAGTGATGCGCCGCTGCTCGTGAGTTTGGAGGCACAGCGGAGGTTGGGCCTGGTTCTTGATCTGAGTCGCGAGGTGGCCCATTCTCAGCTTCTTGGTCATGACCTTCGACTTGTGCACCATAATGGGTTATTTGGCCTGCGGCTCCTGCCGGGGAACTTCGCCTACTACTTCGACATGCTCAACAATGACCGGGACAGCCTGGATGACGAAGACCTTGACCGGGATGACCCGGAGGGCGACGTCGAGCCCAACGGCGACTTCACCAAGGACACCGACTTCACCAAGGACGGCGACTTCACCAAGGACATCGACTTCACCAAGGACATCGACTTCACCAAGGACGGCGGCTTCACCAAGGACATCGACTTCACCAAGGACATCGGCTTCACCAAGGACATCGACTTCACCAAGGACATCGACTTGACCAAGGACGGCGGCTTCACCAAGGACATCGACTTCACCAAGGACATCGGCTTCACCAAGGACATCGACTTCACCAAGGACACCGACTTCACCAAGGACGGCGACTTCACCAAGGACAGCGACCTCACCAAGGACATCGACTTCACCAAGGACATCGACTTCACCAAGGGCATCGACTTCACCAAGGACGGCGGCTTCACCAAGGACATCGACTTCACCAAGGACGGCGGCTTCACCAAGGACGGCGGCTTCACCAAGGACATCGACTTCACCAAGGACATCGACTTCACCAAGGACGGCGGCTTCACCAAGGACATCGACTTCACCAGGGACATCGACTTCACCAAGGACATCGGCTTCACCAAGGACGGCGACTTCACCAAGGACGGCGACTTCACCAAGGACATCGGCTTCACCAAGGACAGCGACTTCACCAAGGACGGCGACTTCACCAAGGAAGGCGACTACACCAAGGACAGCGACGACATCAAGGACATCGTGGGCACCGAACCGGCTGTTGGTTATTTGGCCTTTGACAAGATGAAGACCCATGCCATGAACAAGGGCCAGGCGATGAAGCACAAAGAGCAGATCCTTGGGGTCAAGAGCCAAGATCGACTTTTGTGGAACCATGTGTGTCCCTACAGCTCACGCCGGCGTCCATGCCTTCCCCGAGGATGTGGAACCTTTCTTCTGGAAATTTTCGGCTGTGCAGTGCTCACTGGCATCGCCCACCAACACTACGGCTATCCGGTCTCCACTCCCTTGGGAACCGGGCACCACAACCGCATTGACTTGACGACCGAGACTGGGCGTGAGCAAGCCAGCCTGGTCATCGAGAGGGATGATCCTTACCTTGTGGCATTCTCGCCTTCGAGTACTATGTGGTCTGGCTGGCAGCGTGTGAACGCCGAGCGCAACGAGAACAGCAAGGAGGCCACCAGGCCGCGAGGAGAGTGTGGATGCCCATTGTCCGGTGGATGAAGGAGACCATTGTGGAACGACTGCGTCGTGGAAGACAGGTCTTGCTCATGAACCCAGCCGGATCTGATCTTTGGAACACTTGGGACCTGCAAGAGCTTCTTTGTCAAGCTTCCACCCGAGAAGCAGCCACCGCCGAGCGTCTGGAGAAACTGTCTTTTGACTCCTGTGCTTTTGGGCTGCAGGACCCCTTCTCTGACAAGTACCACCGCAAGCCTATGAGTGTGCTGACTGCTTCGCCTGCCCTCAAGGAGATGCTTCGTCAACATGGACTATGCCCTCGAGACCATGCTCACAGCTATCTAGCTGGAAGGACAAAATGCCGGAACACCGCCGGATGGACAGTGGAGCTATGCACGGCTGTCATGGACGCGCACCTCAGGGACTTAGATGGCATCTTGGTCCGTGCAGCGTTCCCGGCCGAGGCTATGGAGGAGGACGCGGCCGAGCCCCTGGATGATGACACCGCGCCCCTCACCTTGGACGAGATCTACGGTGACGAGGACCTTGCCAGCTTCTTGCCTCAGGCGAAACAGGTCGATGAGCAAGCTCTTCTCGATGAAGAGACGCCCAAGCCTGAGATCGAGCAGGACGAAGGACAGCCGCTCCAGGAGATGAGAGCAAGGTGGCGTCAACTGCCACAGTCGACACGGATTGCGGTGAGGAGGCTGCACACTATGACGGGTCATGCCTCGGTGACCTCAATGCAACGCCTTCTTCGAACTGCTGGTGGCGACCCCGATGTGATAAAGGCCTTGCCCTACTTCCACTGCCCTGCTTGCGCAGCTCGGCGACGACCTGCCCAACAACCTGCCACAAGGATGCCCAGCGAATACCGCTTTAACGTAGAGGTGGCGCTGGACTGCTTCGAGATCCGAGACGTAAACCGCCACCGTTACACCGTTCTCTCGGCTGTTTGCATGGGCACGCTCTACCATACTGCCATGGTGGTTTCTCCAAATGGTGGCATGCCCTCCTCGAAGAGATGCTTGGACGCCTTCCGGACCATGTGGCTGGACTGGGCTGGTCCGCCGAGACGCCTGGTACTTGACCGTGGTGTCCACAACCGAGGGATTTTCTCTGAAACCATCAATGCCATGCACATCGAGCTCAGGTACATTGGTGTCGAAGCGCCCTACCAGCTCGGACGTGGGGAGCGCCAAGGGGGAATATTGAAGCAAATTCTTCAGCATGTGATCGAAGCCCGCCAAGTGGACTCCCTTCGCGCGCTTGAGATGTTGATCCCGGAGGCTACTTTTGTCAAGAACAATAGAGTCCATCATGGAGGCTTTACTCCAGCTCAGTGGACGTTAGGCCGCATGCCTTTGGAAGTTGATTCCTTGGTTGCTGAAGAAGCCGAGGGACGAGCTGGAGTACACGAGGAAGCCCTGAATCCCGAGACCGAGTTCGGGAAGCAGTTGCAATTTCGCATGGCTGCCAAGGAGGCTTTCAGCTATGTTGATGGGGCTCAGCGAGTCCGAGCGGCAATGCTTCGAAAAATGACGCCCCAAAGGGGGCCCTTTGCGCCCGGCGACTTGGTCTGCTTCTACCGCAAGACTGGAGGTGGAGCTACCAAGGGACGCTGGATGGGGCCAGCTCGTGTGCTTGGACTTGAAGGGCGAGGTTTGGCTTGGCTCACTCACGGCGGCATTCCTATTACGGCCAGTGTTGAGTCTCTTCGTTTTGCCACAGGAGGCGAAATTGCTGCTAAGCGGAACCTGGAGCTGAGACCTTCCAGGAAGCGACGCCGTGAACTTGTGGAGCCTGACGAGGAGTTCGAGTACCCCTTTGGAGACGATCTGGTGGGAGCACCCACGGCGCAAGGCGGAGGCAGGGAGCCTCAGCAGATTCCCTTCTTTGACAATGAGGACCCAGACTTGGAGGAGTACTTGCCCAGTCCTTCAGCAGAGCCGACCATTGAAAGTCCACCGCCCGTCCTGGGGCCACCGCCTGGACTTCCGCCGCCCGCAGGCGACATTGGCGCGCAACAGCTTCCTCCAGTACCCGAAGAAAGTGACTCAGACCTGGACGTGCCCACTACCAGTGGAGAACCTGAAGAGGAACTGCTACCACCGAGTGGTCCAGCCACGGCACCGCCAAGTCGACGGTCTTCGGACACACAGCCAGCAGCTGATGCTCAAAGCGCCTCTACACGGACTACCAACGCACAGCCGACGACTTCTACCCCACTGGAAAGCTTCGCGCAGGGCACCTTGCAACGTGCTCTTCGTCGATCACCGGATGCTCTTGATGGGATGCCCAACGCAGCTCGCAGCCTTCAACAGCATGATGCGGATAGGTCGCGTTCACCAGCTCCCTTGACACGTGGAGCACCTAGTGAGAGATCCGCCTTTGTCGGGTTCCTTGCCAGACGCACCAAGGCCAAGACGAACGCTGCCAGGGCAAAGGAGCTCCACCTCAACAAGTCCACCCCGGAACGAAAGCAGAAGATGCTGGCGGCGCGGGCCAAGGAGTGGATGAACTGGACAAGCTTCGAAGCCACAACAGTGCTTCCTCCAGCTGACGCGGCCAAGTTCCTGAAGGAGCACCCCGAGGTGGAGGTGATACCCACGCGCTGGGTTGACACGTTGAAGTCCGAGCCCTGGGAGGAGGACCGCCACAAGGCAAGGATGGTGGTGCGCGGTGACTTAGAGAAGGACAGTGAGCTTCGAACCGACAGTCCCACGTGCAGCCAGCAGATGCTGTCTTTCACCCTGGCTTTGGCTGCCGGACGTCGATGGCCAGTTTTCGGTGGTGACATCACAGCGGCCTTTTTGCAGGGAGAGAGTATCACACGTCAGCTCGTGCTTTCTTTGCCCAAGGATGGTGTGGAAGGCGTCGAAGAAGGCAGCATCATGATTGCCAACAAGCCCGTCTACGGCACCCGCGACGCTCCACGTGGTTTCTGGAAGAAGCTGGCCAAGACCGCAAAGAAGCACGGCCTGCGCGAGGTCCCCTTCGAACCGGCCGCCTATTCCTTGTCCAACAGCAAGGGCGAGCTTCTTGGACTGGTCGTCTCCCACGTCGACGACCTCCTATGGACAGGTGGGCCCGAGATGACCGAGGTGATGCTCCGACTTCAGCAGGATCTGAAATTTGGATCGCTTGACGAGGGCAACTTCACGTATTGTGGAAGGCTGATCACCCAGGAGGCCGAAGGGATCCGGGTGACGTGTCCCAACACCGCTGCCAAGGTCAGGGCGATCCATTTGACTGCTCAACGTCGCAAGCAAAGGGACCTGCCAGCCACCGAATCCGAGACGAGCCAGCTGAGGAGTGTTCTTGGCTCGTTGGGATGGGTTGGCCGGGTCTGCCGACCGGACATATCATATGAGCTGTCTGCCTTGCAAGCCGTGCAGAAGCAGGCTTCCGTGCAGGACCTCCTGGACGCCAACCGGCTGCTCTACTACGTGCAGAAAACTCCCGAGGCTGGTGTCTTCTACAAGTACGGAGCCGTGGACATTGACCGGGCGATCCTTCTCTCGGTCACCGATGCCTCCTACGCCGCCGACTACGATACGAGCAGCAGTGGACAAGTCTTGGGAAATCGCTCGCAGAGTGGACGACTGCTCTTCCTTGCGGACCCTAGCTTCTTGGAGAAGGGCGAAGGAGAGGTCTATCTCCTCCAACATCACTCGAATGTGATTCGCCGAGTTTGCCGCAGCACTCTTCAGGCCGAAACGCTCAGTATGGTCTCCGGGCTTGAAGAAGCAGAGCACATGCGTGCTGTGATGTTTGGAATGCGACACGTGTTGCAAGGAGACTGGCAGGTTCGAGCAATGGACGCCGTCACCATCCAGATGCTCACGGACTGCAGAAGTTTGGAGGCGCACCTGCTGCAAAGTGGAATGGGCACCACAAGCGACAAGCGCCTCTCCATCGATATGAGTGCTCTTCGCCAGATGATCTGGCGGGAAAATGGTGAGGCTTACGGAGACCCGCTCAACACAGATGGCATCCCAGCTGGTGCCACGACGAGAGTTGAGTGGATTGAGACCAAATCCATGCCTGCTGATGCCCTCACCAAACGGATGCGCAGTGAACAGCTACACTTGCTGATGGCAAAAGGCACACTGAAGATCGACCGAGACCGCTCCTCGAAGAAAGCCGGCAGCAGACCGGTCTAAGGTCTTAAAAAGACCATGGATGTGAAAGCAGAGCTTCTTTCTTGTATAGTCCAGTAAAACCAGAAGCGCAACAGCTATGCATCCGACCTTGACCGTTAACTGAATGGCTCAAGCGAGCAAAACAACTGTGTGCGCCAGTGCGGGGAAGCTTTGCATTTCCGCACCAGGGTTCCTAGCAGGCGGGCGGGGATGCCGCCCGTAGGGCCCAAATGGGGGCCAGGATTGGCCCGAAATTGCTCGATTTCTCGTAAAGTTAGCAGGTCTCCACTAGGGCCAAAACATTCCCACCAGGGCAGGACATCCCCGAATTAAAAAAATGTCGGCCCCCTCATTTGGGCCCTACCAGGGCATCCTCGCCAGGGCATCCTTACCAGGGCATCCCCGCCAGGGCATCCCTACCAGGGATCATTTCTTCTACTTCGGGCCAATCCTGGGGCACACCCCATTTGGGCCCTACCAGGGCGTCCCCACCAGGGCATCCCTACCGGCGTCCCTACCAGGGCATCCCCGAAATTTATAAACTGCAGGGTCGTTTCTTCTACGACTTCTTTGTTAAATTTACTGGGAATAGCAATGTGGGGCCAATCCTGGGGCATCCCCCATTTGGGCCCCACCAGGGCATCCCTACCAGGGCATTCCCGCCAGGGCATCCCTACCAGGGCAGCCAATTCTGGAGGGCATCCCTACCAGGGCATCCCCGCCAGGGCATCCTTACCGGGATCCCCGAAATTTCAAAACTGCGGGGTCATTTCTTCTATATGAATTCTATAGGAAATCGAGCAATTTCGGATTCTGGGGCACCCCCCATTTGGGCCCTACCAGGGCAACCCGAGATGGGACAACACTCTGCGGTGTCGTGGCCTCATCAAAAAAGTTTTGGAGGCGGGGAACACAAAAATAAGCCCCCTTGCTGGGGTCCTCGGCCCAACCCCAAACGCGAAAAAGCCTCAGTGTTGTTGCCCCCCAAAACAGGAATAATTGCACCCAAGCCAACACGGAACAAATATGTAAGCCCCCTTGATAGGGGGTTGGGGGTAGAAACCCTAAACCCTAAAAGAGTCGAGTCTGGGTGGGTCTAGGGTGGGTGTCACGTAGCTACGCTGGAGCGAGCGGCTCGGCGTGTTTTACACCCGAGCGAGCGAATACGAAACCCTAAACCCTAAACCCTAAACCCTAAACCCTGAACCCTAAACCCTAAACCCTAAACCCTAAACCCTAAACCCTAAACCCCTGCGAGCCCCAAACCCTCAGAGCTATGTAAGCCAAAAGGTCCGAAACCCTAAGCCCTAAACCCTAAACTCTAAACTCTAAACCCTAAACCCTAAACCCTAAACCCTAAACCCTAAACCCTAAACCCTCTAAGCCCTAAGCCCTAAGCCCTAAGCCCTAAACCCTAAACCCTAAACCCTAAACCCTATAAGCCCTAAGCCCTAAACCCTAGACCCTAAACCCTAAGCCCTAAGCCCCCTCCCCTCCCCTCCGCGCCTCCTCGACCTCGACACTGCAAGACACTTGGCCCAACAAGCCGTCGCCGTAGCCAATAAGACGAGCCGAGGCGGGCCCCTTGCGACTTGGCGAGATGCGGGTTTGGATTGAGGGTGTTTGGGGTTCAGGGTTGAGGGTTTAGGGTTGAGGGTTCAGGGTTGAGAGTTGAGGGTTTAGGTTTGAGGGTTTAGGGTTGAGGGTTTAGGGTTGAGGGGTTAAGGGCTTGGGGTGAAGAGGCCAGGCTTCTCAAGGCTCTCAAGGGCTTGAGGGTCTGGGGCCCTGACCTTCTGAACTTTCATGGCACCTTGTAATTACTCTACGACTCTAAACCCTAAAGCCTAAAGCCTAAACCCTAAACCCTAAACCCTAAACCCCAAACCCTAAACCCTAAACCCCAAACCCTAAACCTTAAACCAGCGAACCAAGGGCCATCGCTTCAGCCTCAGCAACTCTGTGGTCTACTGGGCCTCACAGTCCCAAGCGCCCGAAGCTCCAAGCCTCTGAACCCATAGCCCTAAGCCCAAAATGTCTGAAATGGTTTAGGGCCACTAGAGTTTAGGGTTTAGGGTTTAGGGTTTAGGGTTTAGGGTTTAGGGTTTAGGGTTTAGGGCCTTTCCAATGCAACAGTTTCCCAGGCTCTGTGCGCTGGACGATGGCTCAGCCAGTGCACGTGGCGGCCCTAACTTTCTTGCCATGAGCCCCATGCCATCCTAAACCTGAACCCGAAGCCCCGAGCACCGAACCACGAACCCTGAAGCCGTACGCCAAAGAGCTCAGGGCTTAGTGGTGCCCCGTAGTCTTGTTTCCTAAACCCTAAACCCTAAACCCTAAACCCTAAACCCTAAACCCTAAACCCTAAACCCTAAACCCGAAACCCTAAACCCTAAACCCTAAACCCTAAACCCTAAACCCTAAACCCTAAAGCCTAAACCCCCAACCCCCAAACCCCAAACCCCAAGCCGAAAAAAGGAGTCCCCACAATCTCCCAAAAAGGCCATCCCCAACCCTCCCAACATCTTTGCCGAACACCCAAAACATACCGGGGAATGATACCTTCCATCCCCCCACTCATATTCTTGGGATTAGGGTTTAGGGTTTAGGGTTTAGGCTTTAGGGTTTAGGGTTTAGGGAAACACCCTTTACGGGATTTGATATACCCTCATTCCCTCCTGTCCCTCGGAAGAAACAGGAAGTAAGCCCTGAAAACTAAACCCTAAGCCTTGGGATGTTCCCCCTTATACTAAGAGTCCTTAATGGGGAGTATAGTACCCCCTGTTATACTCCGGAACATCCTAAGCTAAACCTAAAAACCCTAAACCCTAAACCCTAAACCCTAAACCCTAAACCCTAAACCCTAAACCCTAAACCCTAAACCCTAAACCCTAAACCCTAAACCCTAAACCCTAAACCCTAAACCCTAAACCCTAAACCCTAAACACTAACCCTAAACCCTAAACCCTAAACCCTAAACCCTAAACCCTAAACCCTAAACCCTAAACCCTAAACCCTAAACCCTAAACCCTAAACCCTAAACCCTAAACCCTAAACCCTAAACCCTAAACCCTAAACCCTAAGCAGTAGGACAAAAGCGCGTGACAACGTGCCGAGGCGCTGTGGGGCCTCCCCGAGAAGAGGACCAAGGGCATCCCGCCGAAGTGCTTCAACATCGCGTCGGGGGGCCAATGGAAGGGCTGGGGTTTAGGGTTTAGGGTTTAGGGTTTAGGGGGGGGTTTGGGGTTTAGGGTTTGGGGTTTAGGGTTTGATTTAGAGGTTTAGGGTTTTAGGATTTAGGGTTCAGGCTTCAGGGTTTAGGGTTGGGTTCGGGTGTAGGTTTGTAGGGTTTAGGGTCTTGCGTCTAGACCTCAAGCCACAGACTCTAAGCCGCAAAAAAGCCCTGAACCCCTCCTCGGTTGGCTTGTGCCATCAAAGTCAAGGGCTCAAGCGCCGCCACCCCCTGCCTTGAGTTTCGGGTTTCTGGCTTAGGCTTGAGAGTTTCGGTGCAGAACGCCGGGTTTAGGAGGCCCCAAAGCCCTACCCTACCACCTAAACCTCCCTGACAGTCTCAACCCTAACCCGTAAACCCTAGACCCCTTAAGCCCGAAGTAGACCCTCCTAAACCCGAAGCCCCAAACCCTATTTCAGCCCTCAGCCCCAAACCCTGAACCCTAAACCCAGAACCCTAAACCCTAAACCCTAAACCCCAAACACCCTAAACACCCTAAACACCCCTAAACCCTAAACCCCAAACACCCTAAACACCCGTAAACACCCTAAACGCCCGAAACCCTAAACTCAGCGTCCCCCGAGGTCACGGGTGCAGAAGAGCAGCATTGAGCAGCCGCTGAGCTGCCGTGTGCACCCCGTGACGGTGCTCAAGGCAAGCACATCAGATTCCCTGTAATCCTTGTTGGCGTTTTAGTGTTTAGGGTTCAGGGTTTAGGGTTTAGGGTTCAGGGTGCAGCGTTGTAGGCTTGACTTCAGATTCCCTGTTCTCCTCGTTGGCGTTTTAGGGTTTCGGGCTTAGGGTTTCGGGTTTACGGTTTGCTTGGACGTTCATGGGTGCTTAGAACCCTAAAAATGAGTCTACGTATAAACTACTTAGGGGACTTAGGGGCTTCTAGGTATAGTGATAACTAGGGTTATAAGTGCCCATGAACCTCCAAGTAGGGACGAGGGTTGGGAACGGGAGAGAGAGCACCTCGAGCTCCCTCAAGCCTTGAAGAAGAAGGGGAGGAAGAAGAAGAAGAAGAAGAAGAAGAAGAAGAAGAAGAAGAAGAAGAAGAAGAAGAAGAAGAAGAAGAGGAAGAGGAAGAGGAAGAGGAAGAGGAAGAGGAAGAGGAAGAGGAAGAGGAAGAAGAAGAAGAAGAAGAAGAAGAAGAAGAAGAAGAAGAAGAAGAAGAAGAAGAAGAAGAAGAAGAAGAAGAGGAAGAAGAAGAAGAAGAAGAAGAGAAGAAGAAGAAGAAGAAGAAGAAGAAGAAGAAGAAGAAGAAGAAGAAGAAGAAGAAGAAGAAGAAGAAGAAGAAGAAGAAGAAGAAGAAGAAGAAGAAGAAGAAGAAGAAGAAGAACCTAACCCGAACCCTAAACCCAAAACCTAAAATCCCTAAAACCGCCTAAAACCCCCTAAACCCTAAAACCCTAAAAACCCTAAACATAACCTAAAAAACCCTAAACCCTAAAAACCTAACCCTAACCTGCTGTCGTCGCTAAAAACCCTAACCCTAAAACCCTAAACCCTAAAAACCCTAAACCCTAAAAAAACAACCCTAACCCTAAACCCTAACCCTAAAAAACCCTAAAGACCCTAAACCCGAAAAACCCTAAACCCTAAAAGCCCTAAACCCTAAAAACCCTAAACCCTAAAAACCCAAAACCCAAAACCCAAAACCCAAAACCCTAAACCCTAAACCTTAACCCTAAACCCTAAACCCTAAACCCGAGCAAAGAGCGCCGCCAGATCCTGGACGCCTACGTGCGGCGGCCCGCTGGCGCGACCCGCACCATCGGCACCCTGCTGG